AATCAGCAGGTTTGTCTTCAGGCTCCTTACAAACAGGTTCTGCAGCAGTGGCCGACTCTGGAGCAAGTTATTGTGTCTGATGGTGAAGGACAGAAGCGTGTGAGACGAATTCCCTGGTTTCAGGGCAGGAAAGTCTCTGCTGTGGAATCTTACTTCCAGCGGCCCGCCCATGTGAATCCAGGGGCAGTGGGAGAAGAATCCTCATCCCCCAGGTCCTAAAGCCTGAATATGTGGCAGTACTGGGACAGTACATCCTTACACACTGAAACTCAGCTTATCATGTAGAGAAGCCATAAGTAATGTAGCTCTTGTTACTGACTGCTGATTATAGTTGCCCTGAAACAAATGGCCGTCTGCCCCTTACATCTCTCATTGTGAAACAACATTTAAATAGTATACTTTTGTAGTTTGCATATGCAGTTTGTTTTTACATTAAATGTATCTATACTATTGTCCTAATGCAGAAACTACAATGCATACTCTCCTGGTGGTGTGGTGGCTTTACTGCTGCTCTAACTTACTAAACAAAACTAGCTTTGAAGATCACCAGGTCATGAAAAATGCATGAAATCCCAGTTTACTCCTTCTAGACTTTTGGGTATTTTCAGTCTACAGCAAATGGGTAACCTTACAACTAGTGTAATTAATGGTCTTCATTGCTGTGTCAGTGCTTTGACCTTTTGTTTAGCTTCCCTCCCCCACTCTGTAGCAGCACCTCGACTGCCCAGATTTAGGAGGCTGGAGGCTCACAGCTGGAGGCCCTGCTCAGAGTTAAAGGAAAGGCACAAGTTTGAAAGGGTCTTGCTTCTTTTTTCTTCTCTTGGATACACAGTTGATGATATGTGACTTTTTGTTCGTGTTTCGGTCACGGCGGCTGTGCTGTAGCTCCACTTCCGACAGTTTTTTCTGTGTGTAACTGTGAAATATGACATTTATTAAATGAACTTTTATCCACACGAGAAACCTACAAGAGTATATAGAGGAAGAGATACTGAAGTTATAGATCAGGGTTTTAGTGCAATTGTGGGCTAATAATTGTCAGACAATTATAATAAAAGGTGTAACCATGCAGGCCATTTGTGTGTGTTTAATGTGGAAAGAAAGAGTAAAACCCATTCATTTGTAGAACATTTAACAATGTCCTTTCAAGTGTTTTATTGTCCTGTTTCAATGTTTAATTGTTATTCTTTTTTGTACAGCGTCTCATAACTCCAGTTTTGAAAGGTGCTGTTGAAATAAAGATCATTATTCATATGCATATTATTACTCGCTGTAATAAAAGGCTTACACCAGCAATTTAGTACTGAATGACGACAAAGTAAGGGTTTTCTTTATTTTAAAAAGAATTATCAAGATTGAAGCAGTAAAGGTTAAGTTTTTGTAATTTTAAGTCCAATAGAAAACACATGGGATCCTCCAATTCCCATAATGCATCCTGCTGGTTGATTCTTCCTGCCCTCATCTCTCAGATTAAATGGTTATACTTTATAATACATATATGATTTCCTCAGTCCGAAAGTCCCAAAGACTTAACTCACATTTGTAACCTGATCATAACCTCAATGACAGCCTGAGTTTTATGTGTTAAATCAGCGGCGTGTCCCTTTAAACAAGAGGCCTGAACAGTGAGCTCAGCTCACGTAGGAATGTACAGTAGAAGACAGCAGGATGTTCTCTCCATTAAATATCAACATGAATGAGATGGAGACTGAGGCTAGTAGGACTCAGACGTGGTTCAGCCAGAGCAGCCGATTGAAGCGTGCAGCAACACGACATGTGATTCTGATGATTGAATAACAAACATTATTGAGTTGCTGTGGTTTGTGTAGGATCAGGGCTAACAGCCTGAAGAGACAGACCACGTCACAGATCATTTCTGTCTGACTCTCTGTGAAAGTTGTGTCTGTGTGCTCATTGTCTGGAGCTGTGTGGCGCCTTCAGCATGGGAACCAAATGCTCTGGTTTCATTATTCCCATGAATGCTTCCTTCTTTTCTTCGTGATGTCATGTGTATCCTCCCCCTGCTCCAGAGTCGCTGTGTTGAGCAGATCAGTGAGCAGGAAGTTACAGAAGCAGCGGATGCATGTCCGGTGCAACAGGCCCCGTTCTCCACACTTTATTTCTTTGCAGCTGTTTTTATGTGCGGCCTGATGAAAAATATGTACACATAATGCGCATGCAGAACATTTAAGAAGCCCATGAAGGCTTACGATGGGAAACTCTATTGCTTGAACTGCTGCCAGACACAGAAGCATAAATCCTCTTCTCATGCAGCAATAGTTTTGCATTTGGTTGTCTTTTGTAGGACTTGAGTGATTCCTTACAAACATCATCAGTATAAAATGAGTAAATCTGATTAATTTAGGATTTCTTTTAATACATATGTATACATAATGATCATTAAACTGTCTCCACATCAAAATATGTCATTTCAAAATGCATGACCAATGATTTTGAAGTTTTGATATTGTATGAAGTAGTGCAGACAGGAAGGAATTAAAAAATACATAAATCAGTTCCAGGTTTTATAGAATAGAATCATTTTTGAATAGTATAAACTGTATAACTAATAAGCTGAACTTTATAGACTAATTTCTAATTTTGCGTTTGAGGGGGGAAGCAGCAACCTTTGATGAGGAAGGACGAAGGCAGCGTGAGACTGTCAGAATCAGCAGGTCCATGACTGACCACTGGAGGCCGAGTCCAGAACCAAGACACTGCTCAGAAACCTCCTGAAAGCTTTTCTCAATTGTTTACACACATTTCCTGAAAGTATGCCCCACACTCTCAGAACTACACACACACACACACACACACACACACACACACACACACACACACACACACACACACACACACA